ATTTGTAGTAGTAAGAGCTGCAGCTGTGGTTCAAATAGTCTTCAAGATTAATTTTCTGAATTTTGTCCTGTGACTGGTTTATCATGTAGGCATGAACTACAGAATCTTAGGGAAAGCAACACTGGCAATATAAACATTTTCAAGAAATTTCAATGAAAAATTACCTTAATTTAGGAGTCAGAAGTAAAGACACCTTTACACTGATGCCTGAGATTATATATTTTTTCCTTTTCTTTGATTTTCTTGAATTCTAAACTAATTAGACCTAAATTCTAAATTCTAGAATTCTAAACTATTAGACCTATGTTAATGCAAACCTATGGAGAGACTTAACTGCTTCCAATCTGCCAATGTATTGAAATTTAGACCAGTTTCACACAGAACCCCCATGAAGTATTGGGAGCTTGCAAAGATGAGAGCAAGAGATATGCCTAGACTGTTACATACATTGGAAAATACATAGTTTCACATTTAGAAGCAAATTCTGCACTTTTTTCTTCAAGTAACTAGACCTTTTGATTTCCAAGTTCAACTTTACTTCATTTTGAGATACAGTTTTCAGATAATGCAGGAATTAAATATAACATCAAAATATTCAGGATCTAAATTTGATACTTCTTCAAGAAGGTGATTGTTCAGGACAGTTTTTTATTTCTCTCTGAAAGTTACTAACCACCTTACATTTCACTTGAAATTTTAAATTTTAGGGACTTTTAACTAGAGTACTATCCATTTTGATATTATTCCTCATTACTACCAGAGAATGGCATCACACAGATATTTCCTCTGTTACAGCATTTGCCATGGTGATTGCCATCAATTGTATGGACCTCTTTTGGCTCTCTGAGTCTAATTATGATCTTATTCAAATGTACATAAACCTGAAAATTGTGTATAGGTCCTCCATAGTGTAAAGGAAATCAGACTCCACTAAATAAGTTCTTGGAGGTCACTTTCTGTTCTATTTTCATAAAATCATAATATCCAGCAAACAATATTTCTTTCCATTATTTGTCTGTGAGCTATATTCTATATTTAACCTCATCAAAATTAATGTCAGCATAAGGGACAGCAAATATGATCTACTGGCTGTGGTGATGCTGGTATTCTCTTACATATAAATTGATTTGGTCATTGGCACATCCAGTGGAAAATACGTAGATGAAATTCCTACAGAACTCATCTATTCCGTTTCATCTGTGACAACTCTGCGTTATTAATAGCAAACAGCAAAACTGAACATTTGGAGACACTGACGCTGGGCCCTCCCCCTCCCTTTATTTTTTTGTGAAAGCCTGGCAAATAAAATGACATTTTGTAATACCTGAAAAATATCTGAAGATAACTGAATACATAATTTGAATGATATTATTCTCCTGCTAACAGGTATGATCTCATTCCAGGTATTACTTCAGAGCCTGATCCTTCATGACATTTGGGATTTTCACAGACTCCAAAGCTGACAATAAGTACCAAGCATTTACCTTGCCAACTATACAAAGCGATGTCTTTGCCTACTATTTATCTTCAAAGACCTGTCACATCAAATGACCAATAAAGGAAGGAAAAAAAAAAAACTTTTTTCTTTTTTTCCTATTGCAAGCTTAGAATTCACCTTTGGTCCAGGAATACCAATTCCTAATGAACCCTTTGGTCCAGGAAAACCTTGATTTCCTTTTTCTCCCTAAATAGAATATGGAAAGAAATTTTAATGGAAAATAGAAATAAATTCCATACATTATCTATTCACTTTGTAACATTCTGCATCACAGAGAAAGCAAGATACTTGTTACGAAATGAAATGTAATTTTCAAGACAGGAGCAGTGTGCAGCTGGAGAGATAGGCAGTTGAATATGTTTCATAATGTACGTGAAGCCTTCATGAAGTATACAACAATTTATTCCAATTTAATTAAAACAAGATGTCATTTCACTGACAGAGGTGGGAGACAAAAGTAACCACAATGAGGTTCACTCATCCAGTCTACAAGTAGCAAAATCAGGTCCAACACAAAATTTCTTTCGTCATAGCCCCCAGAATCTCTTCAGGGTTGACTTATTTTTTCTGATCTTAAGTAAATGAAAAGAGATTTTTGTTTGAGATCTCCGATCTCAATGTGGAGAGAACAGCTTTCTGATGATACTTCCAAACACACTATCAATCCGGCTACAAAGTTCAAATTTGTTTATAAAGATTGTTCTGTATGTCCTGCTGTGCGCACAGACCTGAAAAGCATGCACATGCCAAGCAATGTGGGCATACAGCATGTTATAAAACACAGCTGTTAGGAAATATATACAGAAAATCCTTCACATCATAAGGGTTCCAGAAATTGTCCTGTTTTCTTTAACAACTATCTTTTCAGATCAAATACTGTATACATTTCAACCACAGCTAGAGGGGATTATATTCCCTGATACACACAAGTTTCATCAAAATTCATTTTTGCAGCATAACAGCAGTGCCCTGTGCAGGTACCAAAGAGTATCAATGAGATCAGCTATCACCTGTACCAAACGTAGCACATGAGATATTAGCTGAAGCTTCTGCGCAGCCCAGTACAAGGCTAGTTATTTTTCAGTATTTTTCAGTCAAGAGCTCTCAGAGTGTCTCTCTAAAGCATTATTATTATGATTATCCTAATATTAGGATAGCTGTTCACAGCTAGTCTTAGAGTGGCTATACTGCCCAGGCAGAGAAATATAAAAATATATTTCCAAATTTATCAAGACTCCAGCTTTTACCATAGGCACACTAGTGCCTTTGATGGACTGATCACTGATCATTTCTGCTGGGCTGGACCGGGGCTAGACAGGGACTTGGGGGCTTCTGCAGGTGGAGAAGCAGCTACACGGTGAACCACCCAGGCAGACACTTTCTCTTCCCATGGCTCAAGGTCCTGGCTCTCATGAGCTAGGAGTTTATCTGGAGTCAGACATGAGACACAGCTTCCCAGAAGAGGCAGCATACCAGAAGTCACAGTCAATGGGTGGTTCTCCCTGGTCAAATCCCGAATTCCAGAGATCCTGCTGAAATAAGAGCTTGTGCTTGCACACAGGTGAGTTGTGGCCTTGCCCTGTGCTAGGTGAAGGCACCTACCATGCTCTACCTTTCACATCTCCACTGGGATGTGCCTCTCCACAAAACCCATAGAGCTCTGTCCTGTGGGAGCCTCTTTGGTTGGCTAGCCCCAGCTCTGGGAGCTAAAAACCTCTACTCCTCATCAGCCCTATATATCACTCATCTGCTAATCATCAGCCTCTTGCTTCTGGAAGCACAACTCTCCCATTTCCCCACTCCACAATTTCTTACAAAAGCAAAAATTCAGACACTGCTATGTGGACTCTGCATACTGGGCAGGAAACTGCACTACAGCAAGCTGCACAGCTGATTCACTAGGGAAGAAGAAAGGAATTTCCTGCAAAGAGGAAATGTTACTAAGGCAGTGGGATGCCCAAGACAGTTTAGCTGGCATTGTTGGAGGAACATACAGTGACTAATTAATCTAATTTACTTTAAGGCTCGTTTTAGCAGGATTGCACTTCCTAGGTTGTAAATGACTTTTAAACACAGTGAAAAATAAATAAATAAATAAATAAACAAACAAACAAATAAATAAATAAATAAAGCAGCCTGTGCCAATGCTAGCTGTCCAGCACTGGGACTGACTACCTTTCCTAACTACTCATCACAGAACTGCCTGATCAACCTCTTTGCAGATCTACAGAGCACACACATATGAACCAGAATTAGTATCTGCTTTGTATTCCAGTGGTCCTTCACTAACAATAAACGTCAGATCTAACATAACTATAGATTTATTGAAGTCACTTGACACTGTTAGGATGGTGTTTAGACAATGAAAATTGAATGAAACCTACACTTCTAAAAAAAAATCATGCCTTTCTCACAGACACATAAGTGGCTTTTATCCTTTAAAATGTCAACCCCAGAACCAAATCCTGCTTCCCCTACTTGTGTAATCAATCATCAATATAGAAAAGATTTATCATAGATACCACAATTAAATGTTTAGAGACAAAACAAGAAGTATACTACATTAAATATTTTATACTTTGCCAGTTCAATCTATGTAAACAATTGAATTTAAATTTGACCATCAGTCTTGTTCTAAAAGCTAAAGCAGTATGCATGTAAAAATGTACCCTTGGATCCCTGACCCTGCTATCCTGCCAGATCGCTGATCAATAAGCAGACTTTTATGTTAAAATGTCATTCTCTGAACTGAGTGTAGATCTAGGAATGTCTAGACTGTGGTTTTAAAAGGAAACCAAACATAAAAAAGAAGACCTGTGGATGCTGATATCAACATAAAGTTACTTGAAATCCATCTCATTTCTAACATTCCATTCTTACTCAGGCAGAGCTCTACATATATATAAAAAATACTTGCAATGATATTGATAATTCAAATTCAGTAGCACAGTAACTCTAAGATGATGAAGAGTGGACAAAAAAGAATGAAGCTTGACATGGCTGTGAAGAGATAGAAGGACAGATAATAGATGCTCAACAAGCATCAGTGTATGGAAGAAACAGGCACTGTTACCATAGCAGCACCAATGTTAACATCCAAAACTGTATGTGTATCTATTTATCTATCTATAGACACATGAGCATATTTTGACTAACTTTTCTCCTTCTTCAGGAATGGAAAAAGTAGTATATGATCTGTATGATGTAACATGATCAGATGCATTTGACTGATGAAACATTTCTGCCCAGAGTAGCAAATTGCTTTTATAACAAACCGCACATATCCATGAACTTAAAAAAAATATATCCCAAGTATTAGATTCTGGGAACACGACAGAAATTTCTGTTAAAGCCACACAGGAAATTGTTTTCCTATACCATTAAACATATAGAAATAGCAGAAACTAGGGAGGGGAGGGGAGGGGAGGGGAGGGAAGGAGAGGAGAGGGGAGGGGAGGGGAGGGGAGGGGAGGGGAGGGGAGGGGAGGGGAGGGGAGGAAAAAAATTTTCTGTATATTGTCACATTAGAATACCTAGTATCTTTGCGGCTACTGATAATGATTAAAATAGAAGAAAAATGCAAACAGATCAAGACCAAAGTTTTTGCCATATGATTCTAACCACATACAGATCTCTGTCTAGAAAAGTCCTGAGACATGATAAATCAGAATCTGTTGAAGAGACATATAATAATGAGAAAAGAAAGAACGTGGTAAGGTAAGTTTCTGTGCTATAAAACACTTCACAGTGAAAAAAATGAAAGAGTTTCTGCTGTATAAAAAGGGAAATGATTTAACATTAGTATAAAAATGGGTAGACAGCTGGAGGACATTGAAATTGGAATCAGAGCGAGTACTGAGTAAAACAAAGAAACAGTAGGTACTTTCCTGGTAAAGCTTGTATGGGATAATTCCACCTTGAACCAAAGAAAGGTTCTCCCGTGAAATATTTTGCCAACAATGTATGTTTTTATGATTTTTATTTACTTGTTATAGCATGCCAGTATTTTCCAATTAAAACCTATTTTGTCATCAAATTCTATGGTGGCTTCAGTTTCTGCAACCTACTGAAGTACCGTGAGGCATCTTTCTCAACCCAGTTGAAATAGTGCTCCTTTTACTGAATCATGGGTGGTTTAATAACCTGTAATTGAAGAGTGGAGCTCAACTCTCCCAATCCAGGGAAATATTCAATCATATGTTCAAATTTAAGCATTCATTTAAGAGAAATAGGAGGTACTTGGGTTTTTCTTCACTAGAGCCTCCAGTTTTAGTTTTAATTTTTCCACACGTTTATTAAAAGACATTTTATTAACATTGAATACTGACAACATGCCATGTTTGTGATTCTCCTTGTAAGGAGAGATGTTATGGTTATGGCTGGAACTAGGTAAGTAAAAATCTGCTTAAGAGGATGTGGAAGACTGGCTAATTTCTTTTATATTGCTATACCTATGTGTTGCTTGACTTCTCTTATCAAACATGGTAGCTCTGTTACTGTCTTATATAACGGAACCTAGAGAAAGCTCTAGATGTCTTCTTTGGACAGTGCTTTAAATCCAAGTAAATCAATAAAATGTGACAGAGGATGAGACTTTTTTTCCAGATTAAATATATTTGTAGCAACAAGAATAATAGAAGAGCAATCAATCACATACCCGAAATACTGAAAGTCAGCAACTAAATTTTGCACACCTTATGAACAAGAAACTTAAATTTACACTGAATATTTGCAGGAGTTCACTGACTCAGTGACAAAACAGAATTTATGCAGGAAGAAAAACAGACTCCTTGAAATTCCTTGAAGAGACAGTTTTGAGAAGAAATTGGACACACTATCATACTGAACTGGATTACCTTGTTTCCTTGTATGCTTTCGCCAGGGGGGCCAGGTGGACCAGGCAAGCCTTTCTGTCCCATAATACCCTATGACAGTCAGTGGAGAAAAAAAAAAAAGAATTAGGAGATAAGCACTATTCTGGGAACACTAAATAAGTAATCTCAAATTTGCTGCAAGCAACAGTAAAACCTTTTTAAAGACTCTAGTTCTGATCTTTCTTTGGTTTATGTTTTCACACTGTAGGCTTTAGTAATTATCCCTGGCAAATTCCCAGGAAAATAAAGGAACAATTAAGCTCAAAGTAATTAAAGACTAAGATATTCCCATGAAACAGTGTGATACTTTTCACAGTTTTTCTGGGGCAGAAACCGACTTTTAACAACAGCTTTGTGCAATCACTCCAAATCACAAAGCCAACTGACAGTAGATGCACAAAAGGCCAGAGCAGTAAAACCCAGTGTAAGTTAACCTGCCAGGCACGTTAGCACGTTAGTACGTGCACCACATACATGTATATTTGTAACACGTATATTTGTAGCACCACGTACACGTATATATGTAGCACGTGCACCACGTACACGTATATTTCAAACCACTGTGGTGCCACAGTCTCTGGGAGCACCAGGTCAGAAAATCCTAAGTGGGAGAGGAGGAAACAAAAGCCAAAGGAACACCCTCTGGTTTGTGTAGCTACAGTAAAAGACAGGTAAAACCTTTGTGCTCATCTGTGTGACGAAAGATTTTGCCACAAACTTTGAGAGAATGTCTTGTGAAAAATACTGTTAATCTGTGTAAATATAAACAGGGGTTCACCCAAAATATTGTTGTTCTAAAAATCTTATCTCAAGAACTAGATGCTGCAAGCAGGCCCTCACCCTTGCAAACAAGATATTGTTTCCCCACAAATAACATGTTTTTCATTCTTGAAGGCTCTGGGGAAGCAGTATATAGGGTCACACATTTTGCGGGATTTTGACACTCAGTTTAAACTTACCAAACTTTTTAAACTGACTGTGTCCATATGATTTACTGAGGAAGTGAAACTTTTTTAGCTTCCAGAAAGCAAAGCAAAGTCAGACATATATCCTGCAAAAATATTCATACTCTACTCCTCACTACATTTCTGTATCAGGCTGGTAATAGCGACATTTCTCCATTCAGATACCAGTCTGTTTAAAATGGAGACAACTGCTAGCTTCTGCTACAGAAGTAAAAGTTACAAAGATGTATCTATGATTAACTTAAATTAATGTGGAGAAAGATACGCAAAGCCAATGTTTCTCCCCATTGACTTTGTAAAAATAATTGATGGACACATCCATGATAAAGTAATACAGCCATGCACTGAATTGCCTTTTTTACCAGCATTTTTTTTTCTTTCTGAATTATCAGTCATTATAGTTGAGGTAGGAAAGAATTGTCTAGATGTTGCATGCTGGCTCCTTATAGAATTAACTTCTTGTTTTTATGTTTCCTTCCTAATGGTTTTACTAATGAGATTAAATGGATTCAATCTCATTGAACAAAACATAGAATTCATATTTGACATGTTTTCATCCACAAAAGAATCTCTTGGAAACATAATCGATACAAACAGAAGAAATGTGTCATTTAACTCATTTATTAGCTTGACAGTTCTGTGTAATTTCCAGCTGTAATCTCATAAAATTTGGCTGCAAATGCAATTTTCATCCAGTCAGTATTCCTTCCTAACCCAGGCAGTAGAAGCGCATGTCTGGTGCCCATGTTTTTATGCGTGATGCCTGCTGCAATTGCACCAATACAAATCAATAACTGAGGAAGCTATTCTGGTGTCAGAGAGATCAGAGTCAGGCAGCATAAATGTGCAGAAAGCTTCAAGGCAGTGCCACACCAACCTTGGGACCAATCATTCCGCTCCCCCGTGGCCCGGGGGGTCCAGGATAGCCTTTCATTCCACGGTCTCCCTGAAAAGAGTCATGGTATCATCAGTAGTTTTACATTTATTAACTGTTAGGCCTTTTACCCACTTGCAAAGCATTTTGTCAAACTTCTGAGTTTTAAAATCAAAACACAAATATGTTATAAACAGTTGCATTATAAATTAAACAACAACCAAAAAAAGCCCAAAATGTAGGCACCCACATCATTTAAGCTCCAAGTAAGAAAACTCTATTCCTCAAGCAAAGATCCACATGTTATAAACCACCAGCAGAGTAACACTCTGATTTATCTTACCAGCTACAGAAAAAAAAAAAAAATCATTTGAAAATGACATTTTTTTCTATCATGTTCTGTAAGTGCTTGCCAGGATGGACAAGATGCCCACTGGGAAGCAGTAGGCACAAGGGCTCCTTATCGACAAGAAAAGGCACAGAGGCACAGAGGAGGCTTTATTTTCCACAGTCTGTAACTGTGCAAGTCGATAGGCACACATGCAGCATATTTTCACTAGAAAATGCTCACCAGTTCAAAAAGAAAAGAAAAAAAAAAAGTACGTTATAGATGCAGAAATTTCTGAACCAGGTTCAGTAAATGTCCGTAAATCTGTGCATGTGCTGGCAAGAAAAAATGTTCTGATAAGCTATTGATCATCCAATATATTAACAACAGAGCCACTAAGAGATGGTATTTCTTGACAAAATAAATATTTTTATTGATAAAACCCTTCATTCTATTAGTTTTTGCAGTAGGAAAAGCTCTAATAATGGATGTGCCTGCAGAGGGAGCATTCTAACCAGAAGAGAGGCACAAGCATGAATCATGCAGATCTCCGATGAGACTTTGTGGTAGGTGAAAAGAAAGAATATATTGTACTAGTTAAAATGGAACGAAAGAAAAGTACAGAATCTTTTAATGACTTCTTTTACTTTCAGTGAAGAATTGTGCAGCTTTCACATTATAATGACTGCTTTTTAGGTGAAATGCCTGAGATTCAGCCTCTAGTGACAGATCACTCCAATCTGCGGTTTTTGTACGTGGTTATGAAGCTCCCATGCCAAGTCCTGACTTGTACTGTTTATGTAAATATATCACAGCCTAAACTATGCTCAGGTTTGATGGATTTGGAGAGGTGGGAACCCTGAATCCAAAGGCTGAGGCTTAAATTTAGCTTATAATGCTTTCCTTCTTCATGTAACATTTGGCTTGAAAATAAAATTTATTTTCAAACCCTTTTTCTTCCAAAACAATGGACACTGGCCAGCTTGAGTCAGGACACAGGCATGGTACAGGGATGCTCTTAGCTTTAAATTGATGTGTCAAGCTCACAGTCTGTGGGATAAGTCAACTGTCGGATATAGTCAGGGGGAAATTTCTCCTTCAGATGTGATCAGAGAGGAGAGTTTGTTGGTTGGTTTGGTTTGGTCTAGACAGGTTTGGAAAAGGAAGCAAAAAAGATGGCTACTTTTTTTTCTCACGTATGAAAGGTGTTCTTACTGTGATCTGAGATTTTTACATCACACCTTCCCTACTAATACAAACAGAAAGGACATTGGAAATGCCCTTGAACTTTTTGTTTTGTTTTGATTTTGTGGCAGATTCTAGCTGTAAACATTTAAAGATTACAATCTTAAGCGCTTCAAGATTGTAGCACTAGAGTCTGACACACGGTGCTGGGAAATGCCCTTCTGCAGTGAGATGAAGGGTAGATATTCCTCATCTATTAAAACCTTCCTGGTTTATCAGTTCCTCCTGCAAAGTATTTTCATTAGCTTCAGATTGTCATATTACTAGCAAATACTCAGAGTCTAGGTAAATGCAGCCATCTTCTTATTTAGCTCCATCTGTTATTAAGGGAAAAACTATTAGTCTTCAGTGTCCTCATAAACCATCAAACAAACCTAAGCAGATGTTGCACAGAGCAGCCAAAGGTTTCTCTGCCTAAGCCTCTGAAACACTGCCAGAGGTACCAAAGCTAAGAGGTGGTTATTTAGATATGGTTTTACTGTATGCATTGCTTTTTGGAGATTCTGGGCTGCTGTCGATTGTGAAGCAGCCTGTAAGCCACTGTGAAGGGAAGTTACTCAGCAGAGAAACAATTCCATGTGTTCCAGTATTGAATATACCTGCAACCTGCTCTTGGATCAGTCCTGACCAAAAAGAGCACATGAGGGACTTGAAGTTGTGTCTCTCTTCCTCCCATGGGTAACACATTCTTACACAGGGTCATTGCAGGTGAAGGATTGAATTTTAGCTTCACATGCTTAGTTAATACCAGATGTCTCACTGAAAAGCTCTTTTGTAGAGCTTTATAGTAATTCTCAAAGTTTCTGTATTTCTTGGCTTAGGAAAAATACTTCTATTTTGCTTTATGAGTTGTGAAGTGGAGCAGTTCTTTTTTCTAAGATGTGACACTAAGCTGTCCTCCAGGGAATTCATTTCAAGAAGGATTAGTACTGCTCTTTGATGAGCTCTAATTTATTTTCTGCACTGTGCTTGTAGACAAGCTTGTCACCATCTGCAGTGAACTAGAAAAACACCACTGAAACAAGAAAGAAAGAGCTGCATCAAGACAATGAAAGTGTGGTACTCCAATGCCTATTCCTTATCACTGGATCAAGAAAACTCATTTAACGAGCTAATGCTCACCTGGGAAATAAATTTTGGCTTCTCGTCATATACATCTCATTTACTGTGAGGCATGTATATTTGGTGTTGAAACACACAGGAGACATTGCAGTGCTCTCTTTAGTGAGAACTAGTTGATAGAAGGGTATTTATAAGAAGAACATCTAAGAAAAGAGTAACTGCATCTCCACCTTCCCTATTTTAGTTCAAATAGACAGGCCCCAAGCTGCAGAAGGTATTTATATTGCAAATGGATCCAGCCCAAGCGTTCATACACTAGGGGCTATGCTGGTGAGTTTAATAATCTTTCTGTTGTGCAATTACTGAGAATGAACCTTTATTTCTAGTGATGTGCTCTTGCTCTTGAATGTCTGCAACCCACCCCCTAGTTGGCAATAGTGCTTTTATATCTTTTTTTAATCCTCTGACATTATGTGCCTCTGTTTTAATGCTAGAGAAAACAGGGTGCTGCCAGGATTGAATGCATCCCACATGTTCCAATTGTGTTTTCATGTGAATTTGACCTCTGATACACAAAATTCCTATCTTGCAGTGTGCACATATGTGAGCCATTTCTGAAAGGGGGGAGAACAGAACTCTGATTCAGCTGAATGGAACATTCTTATGTAGTGACAGTCAAAGGAATTTTACATTAACTACCGTGTAAATTTATGAGTCACTTTTATCAAATAAATGTTCTTTTTATATGCTGAGATTGCTGGATTTTATGTTTACTTGTTTGGTTGGTTGGTTGGTTGGTTGTTTTTAAATGTGGAAAGGATAAGGGATAGCCAGTGTACTTATATTTTATTAAAATTCAAACAAATATATAAAAAAAAAAAAAAAAACACGGAAGATTATGTACTTTATGAACTAAGTTCTAGGGGAATTTTTGCAATTCAGGTGAACTGTTTTCCCTTGCAGCACCTTTGCTACCAGGAAGCTCTGTAGAGACTGAAGATTCCAAACTTTATATAAGCAAGCAGGAATACAAAATTGAAAGGAGGGAGAAAAGCTGTTTATATTCTTTGTTTCTTTTTCTCCAGTGTACTCTCCACCATGTTTAGTGTGGATGCACAGAACTACATCACAGGTGTGACTATTTACCTAGATAATGAATGCTTTGGAACAACAGTCCCACATTGCAAAAGCAACAGCTGCTCACCACTTAGAGAATCAGTACGCATTCTCACCCTATAGCATTAACACACCAATCTAGTTCAATCACAAAAAAAGAAACTTGCCTATTTTAAAGTTAAAAATACAAATTAAGTTTTTGTATCAGGTGTTTTTAACTCTGTTTTTTTTTTTTTTTTTTTTTTTTTTTTTTAATTTCTGACAGAGACCGCTAGATAAGCAGTGCTCTCAGCAGCCAGATTTTATGGCAATGTCACACTGCAACACAATCAAACCCACAGATCTACGCTTGATTTTTTAAACAAAATCTGATATGAGCATGGTTTGCCCTAATTATGTTATTTGTGTTATTTGCAAAGACAGTTATTTCTACAGATTTTTTTTTTTTTTTATAATACAATTCTTCCTAGAATGAGATGCCACCTCTCCATATCCCACAGATGTGGTACATTCCCAATCTACCCCATGACTGGCTATGAGGAGTCGAAATCTCTGCTCTACAGGAAGCTTCTAATGGCACATGCCCTCCAACAAACAGTGCTACAGGCCCAATAGCAATGTATCTGCAGTGACCGCAGGCAGCTCCTAGCCTGGACCTGTGGGCTGATCACCCACTAGTGGCAGAAGCGCATTAAGAATGCTCTCAGCTCTGATGATCTAGCTCAGTTTCATCTGAAGGGAATCCATTTCTTGTGCTATGAGACCGTTCGCTCTGACCTCTTTTTGGTTCATAACCCAAACCACAGTAAATTGGAACTACTTCATTTCAACAGCACATTTCCAATCCAGCCTAAAACCCTCGTGCGGAGTACGCAAGAAGATTCTGAGTCTGTGTGTGTGTCTTGCCTAAACCAGACTGACTGCAGGTTCTGAAGCCTTGCCCATTAGGCTATATAACACAGTATTGTAATAGCTAATATATGACTTATTTATATATATATATATATATATATATATTATTATGTCATGACAGTTACAGAGGTATAAGAATGCCTGTGATAAAAAGACTAGATCACAAATCCTCCAGTGCAAAAGCTGGATATATTTCCTTCTACTTTACAGCTCTTACCTCCTCCCATCTAATGCATTTTATGATACTATTTTGTTCTTCTGTCAGTCATGATCTGGTTTGGAACTGTCGTAATAACTATACAGCCAAATAACTGCTTGATCAAGCAATTACATGGATTCATGACTATAAGAACAAATGTGAGTTGTGATCCACTTTTTGATCTCTTATATTAGCCAGGCACTATGATTTTCTTAAGTTTATTTCTGTATACTTCGTATATTTCTGATGCTTTTCAGAAACACAACCACAACGGTTGAGATAAAAAATTCCAGCTGTGAGAAATTTCACTGCAGTTATTCTAGTAGTTTCCTTTCATTTAAAAACAAACAAACAGAAAAATAAAACAAACAAACAAACATTATTTACATTTTGTATTTGTTTAACTCAAGTTTCTTTAAATCAAACCCCTATATTCCCATTGAAATTTTGATGTCTGTTTCTGGGCTTTGTAATCATTCAACCATGGTATCATGGTGGGAGATATTCAATGACCTGATATGACCTTCCAATTCCTTTTTCTGGGGAAAATGCTACTCTCCAGTAGGAGGCACAGGGGAATTCCAGATGGAAAGATGCCCCCAGACATTTTGCAGCCAGAGGTTACATTTTTATGTAATATCTGACTTCATATTTTTATACAATATCCTAGGCTGTAATGGAATGTTCTTCTGTAGTACCAAGAAAAATTTCTTGTAAGGCTGCATTATATCCAGTGTAAAATCTATATTTGAAAAAAAAGAAAAAAAAGAAGATAAAAAAGAAGAAAGAAATTCCCCTCACATAAAATATCTAGTTAGTTTAGCTGTATATATTTTCCGTAAATCTATACCAAATGGCATAACTGAAATTACTTTTAGTTCTTTAGTAGTTCTGTCATGTTCTAAACCACATTATTTCATGTGAAATATCTCAATATATTGATAAGTGGTAGCTCTGAACAGAAGTATAAAGCCAGGTTTTTCAGGTCCCTATCTGCAGGCTATTGGTCATTCTAAGGATGAATGGCATTCAGTTTTTTCTTTATTGTGGATATATTTTAAAGACATTACTGTTGTTTGCTTTTAATGGGAGCTCTCATGTTCTGGGAACTAAAGTTTAAAGTCCTTTCTGTTTGGGAAAAATTCTGTTTGGGCAATATTTATTTTACTTTCTATTGCAGCATGTTCCCTGTTTCCTATTTCACACATGTAATAAGGAAATCATTAATAAAACCACTCTGCAGGATATTTTAAAGCAATTTCTTATATGATCTTCGTCATACGTGTAAGTCTCTTCTTTTTCCAAGTTTTTATAACACAGTAGTTACAATGTGACTTTTTAAGTCAATTACACCCTGCTTAGAACCTTTTAACATTTATCTATTTTGTGTTTTATGGAAAAACAACAACAACAAAAAGGAAGTGATGTATTTCTAATCTCCATATCTTTCTTTTTTTTTCCCATCAATTTTTTTTCTCTAAGCTGATATTCATTTTAGACTAAGACTCAGTCTTCTCTTGGGAATCGCTTTCTAGTAACTTTAATAATATTTAATTGTTTCCAGTAACCTCTACTTCTGCTACTCCTTGGGGGCCTTTACCCTTTTCATTGCCATAGACAAAAGGAGATGTTAAAGTACAGTCAATACTGTACTTGCATTGGATTCTAACTTCTACATGGAAACTCCAGTACCTAGAAACATCCTGGATCTTTGGGTGTATGAAAGATCTGCAGAGATAAAGCAATAACTGTTATGCATCCAACATGGCAGAGAAGCCTATTGGCAAACTTCTGACTGAAATACAAAGATTTCAGCATTTTCTCATCCTAATTTAATGCACTTTTAGGAGACATATTTGTCTACCCTGTCTACTAGTCAGATGCATGTACTACCACTGTGCTAGTACCTTTGGTCCAGGATCTCCCACACCTTTTGGGCCTGCTGGTCCTGGAGGGCCTGCTGGTCCTGGAGGTCCCTGTACAGGAGAGGAATAAAGCATGTCAGTAGCAGTCCTAAAGAAGTAGTACTTATGTTCTTCCATATAGAAAAGAATTTCAGCAGTAGTTATTAACATCTCTGTTTCTGCTGTATTTTGTCGAGTGCATAATATTTCCAATGTGTACTGAGCATCATAGTCAGTCCCAGGTGGAAACCTAAAAAGACTACCAGAGTGGAGGAAAATAAGTCCTGCTCCTGACTTAAGAATATCAGAGCTGTTCTCAGCTGAGAAACCAGTCAGAAAGCAGATGTTGCTCCATGATTCATACACCACAGACATTGCACATCTGGGATACCAGAGCTGATCCATTAAACCTTGGGGTCAGGCAAAACTAACATATTTTGATTTATTTGTGTTGACAGCCTGTTTGCTGAACTTCCCATTCAGTCCCTCACAGCCCCTTCAGCGGCCCTTCATGCTGTTGGAGGCATCCCTACCCTCCCTTTCAGCATTCAGATGCCAGATCTCTTTGCTGTATCAGAGCTACAGATCCTTAACTACATAAATCTTGTTCATGTTCACAAGTGATTTATAGAGTGGGATTTTCCAGACCATGGGGCATGCAAAGGTGGAAACCTATAATAAACATAATAAACATCAGGAATACTACTGCATACTGAATACTGTATACAATACTGAAGCTTTTTTTTTTTTTTTTTTAATTATTTGGTCAGCAATAGCAGTGCAGCATGCACACATCCACCTAAGTTTGCCATCCTGTGACTGGTGACTGGGCAAACTACAACCAGCCTTTGGGTTGCTTTATTAATCAATGGTTACCAAACCGGGCTGATCTTGAATTCTTTGATTATTTAGGAATGAAAAGTTTTCAGTCTCTCACTGATCTCTTTGATTCTATATCTACTGATATTTTTTTCTCTCACCTAGCTTAGACAGAAATCTTGTAAGGTTTAAAACTTAGTTGCTATGATGCATTTTAAGGCCAAATAATATTTTTTCAATCATCTATTTGCATCACTGTCTTTTTTGTTATCACCTTTGCATTTTCTTTTTGGTTTTATTTGGGATAATGATAGGGGTTTTCATTTCATTTATTTGTATGTAGCCTGTTCAATGGACCTGGGTCCAAAACTGGCACTCCTTGACCTTCCAAAGAGTCTCGAGCTAGTCTAGTGTCACCAAGTGCTGTGAAATGTATCAGGTATATAGCATTTCTCCAGGAATTTTGAGTGAGTGCCCTTTGAACTAATTCTGAATCCCAAAGGGAAAGGAGGGCTGGGATCTCTTCCCAGGATCAGTTTGAATGACAGGAAATTGGAGCTGAGCCATGACCTATTTGGAAGCAATCAGGTCCCACCTCAGCATATTTGGGAGAGCTCTTGTGGTTGTAGTGTGGAAAAAGGTTGGATTACAGACATGTGGTGAAAGAAGGATGGTAACAGTATTCACACCTTCTAGTGAAAGATTTGTCAAACACATCTGTGTGGCTTTGGATGACTGATATTTAGGATGATAGGCCCTTGTGATGGGTGTGCCAGGTGGAACACTCAGGTGTTAACTCCTTCAGTAGCTAACCATCAGGAAAGCAAGAGGAGGGGGAGGAGGAATCTTCAAAAAAAGATAACTTAACTCCCCCTGGT